AAATTGTTGTGTACAACACGAGAACGGTATTCTTAGTGATTTATAGCATTAAATAGGAATTTTCAGTACGAAAATCACCGGGCACCCGGCAAGCAAGATTTTCAAAACTTTAATCCCCTATATTTATCGTCATCGGCATATCTGCGATGGGCACCCTCTCTAGTATTTATCGTAATGCTATAAGCTATAACTGTGCAAAGTTTGGTGCTTTTGTCAACTCTGTAACGATCTTGATGCTAAGAGACCTGACTAATATTTCATTCCGCAAGCCATGCCACATGCCATTCCGCAAACTCATTCCGCCTTTTACCCTCACCGCTATAATAGGGCGGTAATTTTCTTTTCGGTTTGGTGAATGAAAGGCGCTATTGGGATGTATCGATTTTTGATACCTCGTAATTCCCGACCTCACGTAGCAGACGATACTGGACAAAAAATTTTGACTAAAGCATCTGAGAGACATGTACGTAACATTTATTTAATATTTTCCAACCCTCGTTGGTTCTTATTGCACTTACAAGTTGGACTGATTGAAGTTATGAATTAAATCTTTGACTTTGTATTTGTTGTTGCTGTTATTTACTAATGCGTTCAAAGAATATTATGTCTATTAAACGTTCATAAATACACAGGAAATGTGCCTCAGTTGATACTTTCTATCAATTCTGCTATAAGTATCGAAAACGGAGCATCCTTTTAGCGATTTCTCATCGGCTTTGCGTTATTTTTATTCACACAAATGGATTTCACGTTTCATCAAATTTTGGTCAGGTGACAAAACTACGTGAAGTAATACGTACAAAACACATCAACACTGATAAAGTATGAAATTGCCCCAAAATGTTAAGATTATTTTGACAACCTTTAAGATTTCTTTCAAAGACTACGTGAAAAAAATGTGCGTAGGTTGTTGCTCATGGAAGATATTGGACCCTAAAATACCTTAAATGTAGGGTTTGGTCAAAACAGTAAGATGTTGCCCTTACTCTAGGGTCAAGAACTGGAAGAAATTGTATTGGAGACTCTAACTAAATTACTGAGCATTAAGCCTGATGAACATAGAGCATTACCAACTTGATTAGATTTGGAGCTGTCTTTTCTACTTGTGGAACAGCCAAACCATAACTTAGCTAATTAATTATGTAAAAATGAGCTGATTTTCTGGGTTTTTTTTACAGGGGTCCCTGTATCTCCCAGGGGTTTCAATATTTGTGACTAATTTTTTTCGAGGTAATTATCTTAGCACACCCAACAATTGTGCCAAGTTTAAGCCAAATTTATGATTTGAGCATTATCACCCCCTTCCTGGTTCTCTCATGGACACGCTCTTAACAAAAGTTTATTGTTTTAGAACGTAGACCTGTCTTGTGTTGTATCGTATACAAGAAAAGAACCTCGCTCGTTAAATTTTGAGGGTACTGTGAGTTTCAGAAAATGGTGAAAATATTTATTATGTTGCCCGGTTTTCCCGACAACCACTCTTAAAAAAGCTCGAAATCCAGCTCATAGCATCAGCATTACGAAGCTACGATTAGGTGTTCACTCCTTTCGCATACAAACAGGAAAATTTGAAAATAAAGGTGCATCCATGTAAGTAGATGAAGGGAAATGCTTAGTTTGAAAAATTAACTGTATAGGAGACGAACAACACTTCCTAATGCATTGTAAAAAAATATGACGTCCTTACTATAGGCAGGACCTTTATGTTCATATCTGAAAACATGACACTCATTTCAGTTTGCCAGCTTAAAACAAGGAAAGAACTCCCGAATTAAATGAAATTGTTCATTTTAAAATTATAATAATCGTATGTACTGTAATTTTTTGGTCATTGTTGGTTTTCATGTGATCCGAGGTTTCTTTCCTTAGACAAGAAACTTTGCTCCAACTTCTCTTTCTTCACAAAGGTATATAAATGGATACAGCCGACATTATGCAGGAGTAACCCGCCGATAGACTTTCATCCTATCGGGTTGCTGGGAGGTAGAAGCAGTACTCCTAGTCACTTCCTTCTGGTTAGTTAAACTGGGTTAAGCTCCGGCCTGGTCGAACTCTATTATAATAAAGCCGAAGGTTAAGTAAAAATTACTGCACAATTCGCACATTAAGTTAGGAAAGTTCAGAATATTTAAAACGTGGTCCGAAGCGAAAAGTACCTTAAAACATAAGCTTTTGTACGCATGACTATGGAGACAAATGTTTGTAATTTAGCAGGTGCTTTTACTACACTCCTCCCCTTCAGTAATTGAAATTATTTTGCAACATAGACTGATTGAATCAAATTTCTTTTAAATATTTTGACGCTTCTCCTCGATATTGGACGATTTGCAAGATTTGTATATTAATTGCTATAATTTTTCGCTGTAGGGGTGAAAATTGCTTATTGTTTAAAGACAATGAACGTTTTAAACATTTTAAAATAATCGGCACAGCGCTATGGGTAATTGTTATTATCAAGTACATTTGTCTTCTTTTCTAGTCTACCGAATAAAGTTTCCAAGGTCGGAGTGTCAAATCAAGGATAAATTCAGCACATTTACGCAGATTTCGATTCGCCCAATTTTTGGATTTAGCAAATGTATATAATCAATTAAAAGTTAAAAATCTCCGGATATTGACAGGTAAATTATTTGTCAATATCAAGATTACGTTGTCGCGGCGTTGGTTGCTATCTATGAGACATCAGAAATTGTATTTGACTGCGAAGACGAGAAATAAATAAGATATCCAAGGAAGTTCGTGTAACAAGAAAGGGGGGATTCTTTGAGCAAAACTCTGAGCCAATCACATCAGTGACAACTCAACGACGAGAAATGAATTAATAATTGCAATGAAAAACAACATCACGGACTATGCTTCGGTTGAAAAACCGATTAGACCATCATTTGACGGAAAAGCCTGAAAACCATTTGACCTCAAAATGTGTTCTTGTTTGCCTATCCTTGAGTTATTCTCGGTAAGTTTTGAATGTCTATATATAGCATATATTTAGATCATTTTCTGTACAGTTGTTTGTATTTCAAGCGTTTATCTGAACTTTGTAGTTTTGAAACGTACATGTTTTCTATCCAGATACATGCTTGAAATTTGTCTAGTTACTTTGCACGTGCATTCACATTTTCAAGACTTAGATATTTTTGGTACGTATGTAGTTATCAGTGTCTTAACTGCTGTTGTTTTTTTTTTTCAAAAGATATCTTTTGTGTTTTTTCCTTTACAATCATTCAATGCTGGAAGATGTAAAATGTAAGTTTTTAGCAGCCGGAAAACTAAAATGGCCAAAAATCTGTGTTTGAATATCGAGGTTTTTAGCACTTAAATATCCGCAACTGGTCTATGACGTTATACCATTTTTGTTTAATAGCCAAACGACGCACAGTTTAATTTTCCTCGGTCAATTTTTTTTAGTATAGCAAATTGAAGTTGACACCAGAAAGCAAATATGTCACTTTGTCGGAAGAATGTAAATAATGCAGCATTATTTTAAATTCGCTCTTGGTGGGCATAGAACGAACAACTGTTTAATAATCGTTTTCTCATGCATTGCAATTTATATTTAAATAATGCAAGTCCAAGCTGGATTTTCGACGAAAAGGTCGTTTTTATATTTGTTCATATTCTGGCGCAAAAGTTGTAAACTTTACTGGAGATTAAACTAAATGAACAGTAAACCGGTAAATGTTCTCAGGCCTTATGAGCTCAGTTGATAGGAAGAACTTTTCTTTTCTTCACGTGAGATATGTCATCTTCTCTTATACCGAAATAAAAGATTACGGGATAGTGTGCGCGAAATTATAAACTATAATAGTTGTTCTCATCATTGCAGTTTTGAAATTTCTTTCATTGATCATTGCTTTCAAAAATCCGAGATTACTTTTTTTAATTTCTTGTCATGATGTTCATCTCGCTCCCTTTTGAACTGAAATATTTGGTATCTTCTCCGGTATCTAGGCTTACCGGTTCATATGGGAAAACTCCGGACCCGTAAACCCGGTACGACATTGCTGAAACCTAGGTCTGGGCATCTTCTAGCCCATACCACGTTTTTCTTTAGACAGAGTAGTTAAGGGCAACAAAGTGCAAAGGGAGCTCGGATAACTCGAGCCCACGAGAAGACCAATTACAGAGAAAGTTCAATTTCGTGTTGTTTATGTTTGCGAAGCAGGTTAGTCAAGAATCCTTAGAAATGACTATTTCGATTTTGTTTAAGACAGCGTAATAAACAGATAAATCAACGCCAATACCGGTTTTCGATTGGTGATTGGTAGTTCCCGTAGTAATTTATTTTGTCGTTGCTAAGAAAACTCAAACCGTTTATTTTGTTTTTTTCGAACGAAGGACAGAACAGTTAATGACCGACCTTGGCCGGTAAATAATATAGTTTTCAAGAAAATATTACTTCAGCCTCTAATCTATGTATGTGTGGTGAGGTAGCGCTCAGTGGAGGGCAAAACCAAAAATAAACTTTACAACGTTCAGCTGAGCGTTTTAAAGTTGTAATTATGTTACGATTATCAAGCGTTTTTCAGTATATAGAAACATTTAAGCGTCTTGCTAGAAAAATCACGATCTGTTTTTGCGCAAACAAGGATAAAAGAATCAGCAAACTTGAGAAAGCCAAAAATGTTCCTAGTAAAGATTTTGTTCCGCAAATAATTCAATCGAACGGGATCGAAACTGCATGTAGGCCTCATAAGAAAGAGAATTTTGAAACATACGAATCTTATTGTTCTTTTTAAATTGAATTCGTAGAAAAAAGGCGATGTCGGTAAGAAATAAAAAAAGATAATAATCGACTGCTGGATGGGTTAACGTTGTTCGTGTTGTTTATTCAAGCTTGTAAACTATAACGTTTGAAAACAAGAAAACTTTTGATAACAAGAAATCAAGCAAGTCAAATTAATTGAAAAACGACAGAATTTAGACTCGAACAGTAAGAATGGAAAGGGGACTGGGGTTGAAGGCGCTCCGATTAAGAGCCCTATTTTTCCTCCTATGTTATGTCGCTAAACAACCTACTGGTTTCTAACGTTAAAAGAAAACTGCACAGGCGGGACTCTTCAGAGAGTACTAGTAGTTCACACGTAGAGAAAACATTGAAAGAGCTTTCGAATGACACGCCGAGCGACGCCATTGACGACGCATTCGAAGGTGACGAAGTTTTCCAAGTGCTCAATATGTCTGAAACTTTGGCTAAGAAAATAAAAGAAATATCTCGTAAATTGAATAAGCTTGAAGCCATTGAAGAGAAGGTAAAAATGCTGGATAGTATTGAACAGAAGATAGAAAGTTTCTCTTCGAAGCTCAGTGATATGAAAAACTCTGTCAAGGCGCTGAGGAGTAAACTGAACTCTTTAAGTGAAGCGCAAGGAAAATTAATGATTTGAAAGAGAGCGTTGACTTCGGTCACGGTAGAATCGACCAAATTGAGTTACAAGTTTTCAAGCATGATTCTGCATTCAAGGAGGTAAAGGACACTCTTGAAACTGGAGGCGTACAGCAGGCGTGAGAATCTGAAGTTCGCTGGAATTGCTGAGGTCGAAGGCGAGGGTCAAGAAGATAAAAGAGGGATCATAGTGGAGTTCTTATCAAACTATCTCGGTATTCACCATCCCCAAGAAATTGAATTCCAACGCATACACCGTATTGGAAAGAAGGGAGAACCCCATCGTATTATTATTGCGCGTTTTCTACGACTCGCCGACCGGGAGAGGGTTATGAAGAGCGCCTTTAAATTAAAGGAGACGGATTTCAAAATTTTTGAGGACCTACCCAAAGAACAGATCAGTCTAAGAAGGAGGTACCTGCCTGCTTTTTACGAAGCCAAGAAAGAAGGGAAGAAAGTGGTTTAACGAGATAAACTGATTATCGATTGTAGGCATATGATAATCAGCAGGAAGAGTAATACCATACAAGATTGTTTTTTCCCCACTCTTTATGCTGATGCAATCAGAAAGGCTCTGTTTAGGAGTGTTCACTAGAGTCGAGATTGCTGTAATCCCGGTAAGCTAATCTCTAGATATCTTCGGTCTACACATGTCTTTTAAATAAATAAATAAATAAAATGTCTTTATTGCTCATTAGATAAAAATACATATCCAATGTTACAGGATAAAAAGATTAAAAGTTCAGCTAAATTACAATAGAATAAAAAGATTAAAAAATGCGAAAAACTAGTTACACATATCTGACATAAAATATCATTAAAGGTTGTATTTAAAAATTAATCTATTTACAATGCGTTCTTATAACGTTCGGTGTTTATCTTGGGCCTTTGGAAGCTTTTACGTCTAAGATTGTAGGTTAGATTGTTCTTTTCTTGCGGTAAGCACACCTTCAGAGGGTGGTTATCATGCTGTTTAGCTTTTTGAAAAATCGCTTTATCTTGTTTTTGTAGTAATGATCTAATATTTAACAGTGTAGATATAAAGCGTAAATTATAGCATCTGTCTAAAAATTGCTGAAGGACATTAATTTCGGCATCGGAGGCACCATAAACAGAATGTTAGGGAGAACAATACTATAGAAGAGATAACCCATTTCTGTCTGGCTGTAGTGCTCTTTTCTACATACTCTCAGCACGTCTAGACATTTGTTGGCCTTGCACAGTTTAGCTTTTATGTGTGCAAAAAATTTGCAGTCATTCTGAAAGGTCAAACCTAATAAATCAAGAGTGGCATGTTGTGGTATATTACGTACAACAGGATAGAATGCGGAGTTCCTTTTCTTCTTTATGACAAGTTCTTTACACTTGTTAGGGTTACAGCTCATCGAATTACAGTTCGCCCAGGTTAACAACGCCTCCACTAAATCACTAGACGTATCACTGCCCCCTTTCCACACTGGTGCGACAATGGTTGAGTCATCTGCGTATTTAAAAAGAGCGGGAGTGGAACCTAGCTTGATTTCAAGGTCGTTCAGAAACACGTTAAATACGTAGGGGCCGCTCACACTACCTGCGTTGTCCCCTCGTTTAGTCCTTTCCACTCGTGAAGGTGGTTTTTGTGAACTATACGTTGTTGTCTGTTATAAAGAAAACTCTGATACCAGTTGATGATATGGGCATTCAGGGGCAGCAGCTTTAGTTTATTAGATAGTAGCTCGTGTCTGACCGAGTCGAACGCTTTGCTGAAGTCCATAGCGTTTACCCGTACTGCCTCACAGTCTGGATTATCTAAGTGTTTGTTGATAAAGTGCTGGATCGTCAACAGTGCACTAGTGCAATTTCCACTTTCACGGTAAGCAAATTGAGTGGTGCTTAGGTTTTCCTCCACAGGTTCCTTCACAAAGGTGTTATAAACAGCTTCCTCAAACGCCCTGGCTATAACTGGAGTGATATTTATGCCACGGAAGTCAGACTTTTCTTTGGGTATGTCAAACTTGGGTATCGTATTTGTATTCGATCTTTTCCATGACATAGGCCAGGTGTGCGTGCGCAGAGACAAATTCCAAATATGACTGAGGATTGGTGTTAAAATGTCAGCATGTTCCTTCCAAACC